TTGTCCGGATTGGGTATTTATTATTTCAAGTGTAGCCGGATTGGGAATTTCATCGCCCAAGTATTGACCGGTGAGGATGTTTATCGGTCATAGTGTTGACCGGTGAGGGTGTTTATTGGTCATAATATTGACCGATGAGGGTATTTATCGGTCATAGTATTTGACCGATGAGGGTGTTTATCAGTCATAGTGTTGATCGGTGAGGGTGTTTCTTCACCTGTGTGTTATCCGATGAGGACTGCTATCGGTCACAATGTTGAAATTATTTTAGTGCCATTCTTGGCTAAAAATATCAAATTTAATTACATTTTATGAGAAAATAAGAGTGGCAGATGTACCATAATATAAGGGTGGCAGATAAAGGAGAGATGTATCATGGAATAAGGGTGTCATATCAATGAGAGGTGTACATTTGGATAAGGATGGCAATTATGAGACCTGTGTTACAATTATAACTCTTGTCGTCACATCCATAAGATGCGATAATTCAGAGTTAACATTTCTTTGTGATATGAAGACTTGGAATTATTGCTCTTATTGAAATGATAATAATTATGTTATTGAGAAGGGGAAAATGGCTTATAGCCAACATTAATTGCCCGTGCTTCGAATAAAAAAATGATTTTGGGATATCAGATATTACATAAAATTGATGATGCGTTTTTTGGAGAACATTCAATAGAGACCCAAATGAGATGTAAATTTTCATTTCAAAGTATTGTAATTTTTCCATCTTTTTAGTAAAGTTGTTTGGCACACAGGATACTTCACATCCTCTTGGTTTTGTTTCTTTATAGTTTGCTATTTCATTTTTCAATACTTAGGTGGAGATCTTTAGACCCCATAATTCTTACTTGTAAAAGTATTGTGAAATGTTAAAATGTTGAAGACTAGAGACCCAATGAAGACAAACCAGAGATAAGCAATGAAGAATCGGAGATGCCTAGCCTGACAATTACCTACTGATGAAGAATCCCTTTGGTCTATGAACATATCCTTTCTAGAATCCCTTCTGGTCTTCAGCTGCTAATGGAATGATTAAGTCATCAGCTTTTGTCCAGTCAGCTCTTGGCTAACAAACTAACATATGGAGGCTCTTGATTGGACATGCCACCTAGAGACAGTTATTCAACTTTACACATGGCAGACTGTGATCCATTAGTGCCTTGACTTTGCTCTCTATAAGGTTATAACTAGTTGTTGAACTGCATTCTGTTAGACATCCTTCATGCAAGCTTTGATTACTTACTGTGTATAATTCCATTTCAATTTATATATTGTAATCAAAGTTTCTCTTTCAAATATCAATGAATATGATGATGGCTACCAACTATTCTTGATAATTCATAGTTGTTTGTGAATTCTTCATAACCCAAGGAATAGATCATCTTCCTTAATACTAATTTTCTTACATCTATTCATAGATCTGAAAACTTTCATATGGTCTCACCAAGTTTATCTTCCTAGACTCTTGTACATCATATGTACCTTCATATTGAATATATAGGGTGTCCCACATGGATTTTGAGGTTCTTAGCTTCATCACAGAATGATAAACCTTGTCAGAAAGAGACATGACTATTATAGATCTAGCTTTAGTATCTAAAGCCATTTTTTTCTTGCCCTCATCACTCCATTAATGAGGTAGTTGTAGAATCATACTCTCAGGAATGGCAACTGTCGTAGCAGTAGCAGGAACTGCTAGAGATATTGTGAATGGAACATAAGGTCCATTTTCAATATAATATGGAATCTCATGATCCACACCTTCCAGAAAAAGCGACATCTGATGCTTCTAGAGATGAAGTTGTCTTTGATGAATCGTAGAGGTTTGGCAAGAGAGCCAATGTTGTAAAAGCTTATGTTTGTGTTTTGCTAAACATTTAAAGAAAAATGGTTAGCAACTTATCTTAAGGAAAGAAGATAATAAACATTGCTCTGATACCACTTATTGGTCCTAGACGGATCTACAAGAGTTTATAGGTAACAGTTTGTAAAAGGCAGGGATGAATACAAACACAAATTTTCACTTTTTAAAATCCTTTATTGATATGAAAAGATCAATATAGAATTTACATATTATTTGCGAAAGAACATAAGATATATATAACTTATTTAAACAATCTAGGAAACACACAAGATATATAAAATCAAGAGACAAAGTGCTTGCTTGAGAAGATGCTATAACTTTGCTTGAGAGTAAGCTTAGTTTTGCATGTATGTGTTGTTCTTCGCTGTCTGGAGAAGAGAGTCTCCTTAGCTATTTACACCCATTGCATTTAATGCAAGTCAGAGGGTACAAAGCACATAGGAAACTTTTAGAGGAAAGCCTGTCCTTTGCCTTCAGATATACAGGCTTTTGTCCGTATGTGAACAGTGGTATTTCACAAAGTAGGTAAGCACGCTTGGAGGCAACAGAGTGACTCCGTACATGTGCTTTACTGTGTGAGATATGAGGTTGTCCTTTGTATGCAGGAGGATAAGACAAAAGCTAATCTTGTAGAGCAAGATTCATTTGATCACTGGCACTGGCATAACTCTAGAGTTTCTTCAGTGTTGGCTGAATCTTGAATAAAATTTATACTTGATTGTAGACACGCTTGTTATCACTAAAAACCGCTTCAAATCATGAATTGCTTTTCTCTATCTTCAGCTATATCTCGACATTGCTGAAGGTTCCTTTGGTGTGAGTTTTGTCTTCTTCAAGAATATTTATTCATTAGAAAAGTTTACAATAAATGTTCAACGATCACTGAACAGACTCAATGATGATCGTTGAAACTGAATAAAATAGAATTAAGTATTTTTCGCTAAGTATAAATGATCATATCAAATCATTGACAGAGTTTGGATCAACAGTTTGAGACAAACAGTATTCATTTTGATTATAAACTATTGATATTATAATTATAACATTTGATAACGTGGATACTCGTTTATGAAATGTTTGCAAAAGAGTTACAACAAAGTAGACAATAAAGTTGACATCTACGTCATCAAATGTTACAAAATCAACCGCTTACCTATCAAAATGAATAAAAAGGTAGAATATTTTTAAACTTCATTACATTGACAAAGAAAACAAAATACGCATCGTTACGTTTGATGCATTTTGTACATTAAAATCGAATAAAAATAATGCAAATGGTCTTGTATTTTGATTGTTATGATTAACTTAGAAATTTATGAACCAAGACATGACCATTATAGAGAAGCTTGATTGTTGGGTTGAGATATGATCATCGGTTTGAAATATACATCCAAGTTGAGACATGACAATAAAGTCCAAAACTCAACACCCCCCCCCCTTATTGACTTACAAGTCGAAAGGCTTATCTTAACGTCAAAATTATGACCATCAGATCTAAATGTAATAACTAAATCAAGATGCAACATCCATTATGACTAGATATGACTGCTAGTTGAAATAGATGTTCGGGTTAGGATGTCGCCTATTAGTAGTAATATAAAGAAACCAATCAGACCAATATATTACACCTGAAAGCAGATTTTGAGTACTACGCATACTTGTGTTTTGTTGGGTCATTGACCAACATCTTCCTAAATCGGTTGTGCTGACTGCTATGCTATAAAGAAATAAGTTGTGCCTTCTCCACAAGCAATTGCTTTTGGCATAGTGGTAAGCGCTTGGATCCTCAAGTGGTATCAAAGCAGGTCACGGGTTCGAATCCCATGGAGTGCATAATAATGCCAAAATTATGTTGTGCAACCATTGACTTCTAGCGAAGATCTTGTTAGTGCTGGCAGATGTTGGGGGGAGGGATTGTTGGGTCATTGACCAACATCTTCCTAAATCTAAACGTGGTGCTGACTGTTACGCTATAAAGAAATAAGTTACGCCTTCTCTACAAGCAATTGTTTTTGTCGTAGTGGTAAACACTTGGATTCTACATCTTTTATCCCAAAAGATAGAGTGGTTGTTTTCAAAAAAAAAAAAAACTCATGTAGTAATGAACCGATTGTTCTAAATGTCACCTAAAGCAAGGATGTGGTTTGATCTCAAAGATGAAACATCACCTCTTGGTATTAATGTAGCATTTGGTTCTTTGCATAAGCTAATAAAGTTACTATGTGAGGATTTAAATGATATTGATCAATACCATTTAAATTAAACTTAATTATTTTTTAAAACATCAAATATATCTCGCTCTTTATATTTATGCATTATTTTCTATTTTATACTTTTTGCATTTTCATTTTATTGTTCTCAAAGTATTTCTTTTATACAATTTCCATATTTTGGTTAATTTATGTAATTTGTTAAATATCAATTATAAAAAATAATATAGAAAATCTATAAATAAAAAAATTGAAAATTACATAAACTTCATATTTTTAGTGTTATTTTGATCTTTTTGACGAAAACATTCTAATAACATACTTTGTTATAAAAATAATTATTTTATTATAATTTAATCATTTATGTCAATTAGTTAAAATATAGAAAAAAACATAAACTACTCGTCAAAGGTAAACACATCATTTTACTAGTCAAACCCTGTTTAATCCTATCCAACCAAACACCGAACAACTATTCTATTCTATTATATCCTGTCATGAAATCTAGGGGGTGTTTAGCATTGTTTATAAAAATAATTTATTGACTTATTCCGATATGACATCGGTAATAAGCACTTTGAATATTTGGATAAACAACTTATACAGGTAGCAAATAAGAAGTTTTTGAAGAAGTTAAACTCTTCTAACTTATAATCAATAAATAAAGACTTTTGTAAAAAAATTATAAATTGTTTTCAATAAGCAATTCCAAACACCTCTCTAATCGCATTTTTAAGGTATCAACAACCAAACGAAACGGTTGGATTAAACCGCCACGCAAAAACCCAAGCAATAGGATTTCAAAATTCAAAAACTCAATTTTGACTTTGAACTCCATTTTGACTTGGAACCAAATCCACAATAAAAAGGAAACCCCCAAACAGAAAAATGTCTGACGTAACCTTTGGTCGGTATTGGCAAGCATGAAACATCAACAGCGACCTTAAAGGTGAGGACTTTTCAAAAAGCTCCGCGGCATCTCTTTCTCTCTCTAGAATTCCTTTGAATACACGCCATCAACATCATCTCTGCCACAAATTCAAGCATCCTAATCGAACTTCCAAGTAAAATCAGCCAAACCCACCTACCAATTCTCTCAATTCGAACGAAAACCCTGATTTTTAGACCCAAAACCCTAGATTTGTTACTGAATTCTAGTTTAGGAGTTGAGGAAGCTTTGTGATCAGAAGAAACGTAAAGTAAAGATGTTTGATTCCGATGAACAGAAATCATCCTCGATCTATAATCGATCTTACACCATACATTCCACTTCCGCCGGTTTTCCTGTTAAACCCTATTCTTATTCTTCTATCCAACGCTCCGGATCCGTCAAGAAAGTTTCCAATACACCCTTCGATTCTATTAAAGGCAAGGTCAGGAATCTCTGCAGCATATTTGAATCTCCCAAAGGACCGAAACCCTCCTCCAACGATTCTCAATTTCAAACAAAATTGAAGTCGGTGAAGTCATTTTCTTCGTCAGACTCTAATCTTTCGGTTCCGTCATCTCCCTATGAATCTTCTCCTATTCGATTACCTGGGACAGAAGATCGAGTTGTTATTTACTTCACTAGTTTACGAGGAATTCGAAGGACTTACGAGGATTGTTACGCCGTAAGGATGATACTCAAATTTTTTAGGGTTATTATCGACGAGCGAGATATTTCAATGGACTCTGCCTATAGGAAGGAGCTGTTGGGTGTATTGGGTGAAAAACAAAACGTAAGTTTGCCTCAGGTTTTCATCAAAGGCAAGCATGTTGGTGGCGCTGATGTCATCAAACAGCTTCATGAGACTGGTCAGTTGGCAAAGCTTCTGAAAGGGCTTCCAGTTCGTGCAATTGGGCCATGGCAGGTCTGTGATGAATGTGGGGATGTTAGATTCATTCCTTGTGCGAATTGTAATGGAAGCAGGAAGGTGTTTGATGAAGATGAAGATCAGTTGAAGAGATGCCCTGACTGCAATGAGAACGGCTTGATTCGTTGCCCCACTTGTTGTTCTTGAATCCCATTGGTGATTTCGATTCCTTTAAACTGTTCCATATGATTGTTAAAAACTAAAGCTTGGAAACAGAGATTGGAGCTCTGAGTTCCTGCATACAATGTTGGTTTGTTTGTCTGGTCTGTTGTGGGGTTGAGGATATATGTTCATCCTCTTTATGAACAAGATTGCTAAATAAACCCCATACTGTATATAGTACATGTGAAACGGTATAGTTGGTCATTATCTATCCAACTTTCAGAGCATGTATATTTAATAACTCATGTTTGTAATATGTTGCACTGCTATGCTTTCTCCACCTAGGAGAGTTGTATGGTGAGTAGTTCTGTTATTCTTGGCTAATGGTTAATGAGAGAATCCACCTTGCAGTTACTTACCATTATTATCCGTTAATATCCTAAACAGATGGAGCCATTGGGTTTTTGTTCAAATTGTGTTTGTGTATGTATGTTTTTGTCCTTTTGTTTACTCAACTATTTATTATCACATTTTGTTGGTTGGTTTTTGTTCTCTTTTCTGAAAAGTTGTGGGATCCCTGTAGGATGCTGAGTTAATCTAATCATGCTGGGGTAATTCTCTTTGTATCTCTAGCTTCAAGAAACTTAAGTTACATTTGCTGTTTGTTTGTATTGTTAAAGAAGTGAAAAGCCGTAGGCAAATATTATTTTGTGATTGCTGTTAGGTTCCTTGGCATGTATTATTGTTCTTCACTGCAGGTATAGATGTAGTTTCCTGCAGTCAAATGGTGATTGCTGCTGGATCTTTGACTATGCTTGCTGACTGTAAGTAAAAAATCAACGGCAGAGGCAGTAGAACATATAACGGCAGAGTGATTCACAGTTTGACTTAGTTTAACTTTGTGCAGGTTCGTATCCTGTTGATATTCTCGTTAGTTCTTTTTTTCTTCTTAATCTGTTTTAATGGAGGACAAAGTGGTTCTTACAGATTGAGTTCGCTTCTTATTTAAATAAAAATGCATCACTAATAGCTTTTGCATTTGTTATTTTTCTCTCTTTAGTATTTATATAATATTTAATTTGTTCGCAGGTTTAAAATTATATGGCCATTACTTGCTAAGTTCTTGAGGTTTTTGCAGTATGAAGCTTGGAAAATACTTTGGTGATCATTTTTGGTACATTATGTTGTATGAAATCTTGATTAGTATATATTTTAGTTTCTGTTACATGATGTCATTGGTGGGTTGATTCTGCTATTCAATGAGCATGTGGTCTCAATGAAGGTTAATTGGCAGGTAGCCTACTACAACTACACCAAGGGCAATATTAATGATCCTGCATTCCCTACTTCACAGATAGCTTTTTTGAGCTCTTAAGGCACATTTCTTTCTCGCAAAACACATACTATATTTGCAAACTAGCGGATAAGCTAGCTAAGTAGCTATGGGCTGATAAGCTAGCTGTCGTCGGCTAGTAAGCTATCTGGAAAAAAAACTAGTCATGTTTGGTAAAACTAGTTGATAAGTTAGATATCAATGTAGACTGATGGAAAAGTACATGTTGAAAATTAATTGGAAATATATTAGGGGCGTAATTGGAAAGAGGTAGGAAAAAAGCCCCTGAGCTTATTGTTAGCTATTTGAAGTAGCTTTTTAGAAAGTTAGTTTATGACTAATCAAACGTGTAAGCTCAAAAATGTATAGTAGCTTATGGTAAACGAACATGGCCATAGACTGTTTTGTTGCCAGTTGCTACTAGGTAACAGGATACCTGTTGTAGGTCATGCTTTCAGCCTTGAGGTGGTTTGAGGAAGTAAACGCACCTGGAGGGATTCCGAGCATCAATAGTTCTTGTGGCTCGAGTTTAGTAGAGGCATAACATGTTAAACTTTTATCTGTTTGTACCATCTCTGCCTCGTTTGTATATGCAATTCAGGTGGATTGAGCCCGTCAAGTGCAAGGCTCATCAGTCAACCGGACCCGGCTGGGCCGGACTTGGACTGAACCAGGCTCTTTGACTGCTTTGATTAGATCTTTGAACATACCAGATTTTTCTCTGACTGGTCCATGCTTATAACCAAGTCATTCAGTTTGATGGTTATCCTATTTTGTTCTCTCTTGTTGATTTTGTTAAAGTGTAAATAGGCTACCTAAACCATCTTTCATTAAACCTTAAATGAGAATTTTATTAACAACATAATCTAATGACAAGTTTGTTGGCGTTCTTGTATATTGAAGGGATATTCTTATATATGGAAGTGATATTATCAAAAAAAAAATTATAAGATGGTTGTTCAACCACTAGATATGTTACAAAACTTCATGGGTCGGTTAACTATTATCATTGGTCTCGGATTCGATTTCACTTGACGTTTTGTTACAGTTACTGAATTCACATTTTTGTTTCTTGTGGTTGATGCTCACTGTCAAGTCTGGTTCCTGTTTCAAACTAATTACGCTTTTAATCATAGTGGTTGACACTTTGTTATGCTATTGGTCACTATAGTTGTCATCTTGTTACACATTTTGTCATGACTAACTCTCATTAAAAGGGGCATTTTGGTCTTTTTATTCTTTTTTATCTATTGTCTATTTATATTATTAATGCATCCCCTTGCCACAACCCTCAATTTTGGATCACAACAAATTTAAGAAACCTTTTTGGGGGAAAATAATCCATTACAATGGGTATAAATCAAAATCAACAGAAAATTCAAGACCATGAATACCAAAATAAAGCCACCATAATTGTTGAAACTTGAAATCATGAGAAATATGGGAAAACTTGCTTTAGAAATGGGTGGGTATATGTATGTGTTAATTGTTTCATTCCTCTGGTTTTACATCATGAACCAAAGCCTAGTTCAAAGTATAACTTGCAAGACATCAATTTGTGTGTCTTTGAAATCAAAATCTGCTACGGTTTCGAGAGCTTCATTGATAGTGAAAGAGAGGGGATCTGTCAAGGGCTGGGTTTATCTATACTAGATTAATAAGCATTTAAACCAAAAGTCTTAATTACAAGTCTTAAAGCATAAAGCACTATCAATTTATGCAAGAGATTCAAAAATCTCTTAAGTACAAACTATTATGCATAATGTACAAATGCTTAAAACATACTATTTGTTTGGTCAAAGTTTCATATTTAATTAAGTCATATTTACATGAAAAAGATATGTTTGGTCTTCCCAAAGTTGTTTTACACTTTGTTTGTTTCCTATTTTAAACCCAAATTCAAATTTAAAGTTCTTCTTTCTTTTGAAGTAAACTGAAAATTTTGAAGTAACAATATTAAAAAGGGTTTCAGATCCTGTGTGTGGTTATAATAGCTCTTGCTATTATATCTTTTAAGATTACAATAGATTTGAGTCCATATTTCTTTGTGATTTAAGAACTCAAAGATGTTGTTCTTATTAGAAATGATAGTATTGATGTTATTGAGAAGGGGAAAAACTTGGACTATGGCCACTGGTTTTGGTTAAAAGTATTTGGAACAGAATGTTCATTTTATGGGGAATCAGAGGGGCTCTGGTTGTTCTTTGTAAGAAACTAGAGGGGCTCTGGTTATGCCTCAATATAGAACCAGAGGGTTCAGAATGATGGTTTGAAAATTATACAAGTCTTTTACAAAGTTTTAGTTAAAACAGAGGCTCTGTATTCGTAAGAAACGAGCTCTGTGTCAAATTTACATTTTAAAGATACTTCAAATTTAAAGATTTTTATACTTAGAAACTTTTCTCATAAAAACAGACCAGAGGGGTTCTGGTTGGCTTACACGTTGAACCAAAGTGTTAGATCCCATAGTGCAAAATGTAAAAAATAATGAAAAACAATAAGTGATGAAGAACCAGAAGACCGATGAAGAGATCAAG